CGACCTCCTAAAGAGAGTTAGAGAGACCCCAGAGACCGAACCAGATTTCCGCACTACAGACGGGTTGCTGTTTGAGAAGACTAATGTGTTTGACCGCGTGTGYGTTCCCAACAGCGAAGAGATTCGTAGTCTGATTCTAGGGGAATGTCACGATACTGAGGGACACTTCGGTTGGCAAAAGATGTTAGCCAATCTGATGTGTGCGTACACATGGCCAGGGTTGGCAAGTACCACAGGGGGACTGTGAGCACCAAGGGCCGATGGCAAAGGGCAGACCAACGAGTTTCTAAAGTATAAATCAAGAGGCAGCGCCCATTCATTCATTCCTGCGTGAGCCATTCAGAAGCGCTGCCACAGCGACTTGTGCAAGGAGGTCTGCAGATGAGCCCGGAGGACGCAGTGGGCAAGAGAGAGGGAGTTAGTATAGCGATAGGTTAGATGCAGCCACAGCTGCCATAGCCGTAGTTAGTAGTGAGTGTGTGTGTGTGTGTGCTCGAGTGTTAGAGTGATGCGTGTGGGATATCCAGGGTGATCCCGTGTATGTGAACAGTGAGATGTTTGGGCGCTGAAGTCKCCATAGCTAATTGAGAGTGAACTCGTATCTGAAAGCCATATCTCCAAGTTTTTGAGTGGCCGCATGTCGCCAGTATGCTGCGTTGCTGTTTACATGCATGAAAAGTGTGTTTGAGAACGAGTCTGATTGCAGTTAACAAAAGGCTCTGGCATGCAACGGGTTGTTTTTTCCTTTACATTTTCGGTTCCTTTTTTTTTTAACGTAAATAAAATGATTTCTAATTAACGAATGAAGCTCCCCAGGACAACCCTAACTCCCTCACTCACTCGTTCGCATTGAGTCTTACCATCGGGATCGCTTTTTTTTTTTTTTTTTTTAATATCGGGGGTGAGGTTATCGCCACAATTACGATCGTCATCATCATCGTCATCATCATCATCATCATAGCAATTACTGCGATCCCGATCGTTGTTTCGTTCTCATATTATCATCATTTTTGTTCTGTTATTATCGCTTTTTTGTTTTTTTGTCATCCAGACTCATCCTTAGTTTCCTTTCTCCTGTTACGAAAATTTACGACTCAAAAAAAAAAGAAAAAAAAAAGGGGAGAACGTATGACTGTTGAAGCATCTCCTGGGGCGA